ATTAATGACACACTTAGACAAACAGATAGCTCCAAAAAGGAGAAGATGAAACAATATTCTGATAACAGGAAGAAAACTTCACATTCCGAGCTCAATGTGGGTGATGCTGTGCTCATTCATGAAAGGAAACGGGAAAACTTATGACACCCTTCAACCCGAAATCTTACAAAGTCATAAAAACCAAATGTACAATGATTACAGTTCAAAGAGGGAAACACACTGCCACCAGAAACATCTCTCATCTAAAACCTCTGAAACAATGCACATCAATTCCACACACCAACTCCACTGATGATGAGATGGATGATTTTGATGACATAGCCCAAACTCAGGAGCACAGGAGTCCCCAAAATTTTCCTGAACGTCCTGTACAAACGGAGAGAAGATATCTTAATAGAGAGAACAGAAAGAAACCCCCAAGATTTATGGATTACATAGAGTGAGACAAAAGCTAAACATTATGAAGAAATGCTGAGTTAAGTCAAGGGCTAGTTTGTTTTAGGTCCTCCCATTACAGCCAGTTGACATGTCAATATACCAGATTCTATTTACTATACTAAATTCATTTTACTTGTTCAATCATAATTTAAGTTAACATAATTTAAAGAGAATATACTTTCAGTTACATTTGTATTTCATATTTCATGTTTATACTCAGAGTGAATTAGTATTAACATTATTATTATTATTTTCTTTTTCTAAAACAAAGGGAGGGATGTAATGTTGTACTTCGCCTTTAAGAAAAGTGTTTTCCCAGTGTGCTGTGCTGTTGAGTGCGGTTAAGCATGTACTGTTCGATGATAAGAAGCAAACAGTAAAGAGAGAGACGTTTGTACTTCACACAGTTGTTGGTCTGAAGTTATTACATATATGAATGTAAAATGTCTGCAAAGTTGTAAAGATGAAAGTGCATCATAAATAAAGTTATTGTCTTTCAAAAGAAAGAGTTGACTCTGAATCATTTAAACGAGTTGTTTTAAATTTTAATCCCATTTCCGCAAAGTTCATACGTCACAAGTTACTACATTTGCATAATGCCCGCCTACGTTCTGCGTGGACATCCCATGAAAACTTGAACCCCCTCAAACGCTGTAGCTCGTTTGTGTGGATAACATGTCAACAAGACGCTGTGCTCTGTGCTGTGACAGAAAATTTGGTTTATTTTCACTTCTAAAGGATGAGGCTGTGAAGAATCAGTGGTTAATCTTTACCACGATACCACAGCAGTATAATCCCAAGCTTTTGCTGTGTTCCCGTCATTTCACTGACGACTGCTTCCCCGATCTCCGCAAATTCAACGCGAGATTCTTAAACATGTGTGCTTGAAAGATGAGTCAGTGCCCAGTTTGTTTGGACCAGCTTGATCCTCCGAATCACAACCTGTAAGTGTGATTAATAATTGTTGCTTTAATGTTCTCTTGAGCTTGCAAAATATGTAGTTTTGTGTGTTGTGTATACAATCAGAGCAACTGCAGGTCTCCGGCTAACTCACGTTATAGTTCTGCTAATTAGTTGTGGGCAGTGGCGGCTCCAGGATTTTTTAAAATAAGTTATAAATAAGTTAAAACATCCATTCAATATCTATTATTTCCTGAATATTACTGATGAACTGATCAAAAAGTAGGCTACTGTTCACATGCGTTTTACTACTATATAGTATAGTAATATAGTAATAATTTAGTACTTTCTCCTGTTTTATTGTTGGTTTCCTCTTTTCTGATCATTTGGACATGACATAAATAAAAAGACAAAAAAAAAACAAAAAAAAA